GTAATATTAAAGAATTACAGGGTGTCCCAATGAAAAGTAGTCGGTTTCTAGAGCTTATAACTTTTACGCCGTGACTAGCAGTACATCAGATGTACACGAAATATTTGTACATCGGATGTATTCCCCACACATACTTTGATTTTCTTTTACTATACGGAGAATGGTCGCACTGCGCAGCTTTTTGAGTGCCTTTTAAAAGGAGATAGAAAACTCCACCATTTTGATCCCTTATTACGTGTTGCCTACATCTTGGCGCAATATTTTTAATAGGTGCGTTTTAATCATCCGCTTCTGCTTTGGAATTGTCGGTCTTCTTGTTTTAATCTGACAGGTTAAAACGACTAAACCAACAACTCCGGAAGCAGAAGCGGATGATTAAAACGCACCTGATATTTTGCTTTCTGCTGTCAGTGTCAGTGAATATTATTTTTGGAAACACAGTTTATTGCTAAAGAATCAGTTAGCTTACTCGGACCAGTTGAAAGTTCCAAAGTAACATCCACTCCAGGGATACAAATTCAGGATACGCAGAATACTGCTGTTTTATTATAGGCGGTTGTCATATATTGTATTATCCGAGTTGCGCAGTGTATAAACTGCAACATTGAGATCAAAAGTGCCGACGCAAAGTGAGCGATCTGATTCTTTAGCTATAAACTGTGGCATAGGAATCAAAATGGCCGCGCCCTATTTTGGGCGTGTCGGACCTATCTCTTGCATCGTATAGTAATCAAAGTATGTGATTCCCCATTATTTGTACATCATAATACTAACCTAACTTTATTTTAGATGATCTAATGGAAGACTTAAATATTTTTCTATAGTATTTTATAAACCTTAGAAGCAAATTTCACATACATGAACAAATAATAATAATGCCGTGACAACAAGAAGACAAAGCAACGGCTTCTCGTAGGGTGGCGGCTTCGCCACCACCAGAAAGTTTCAATCCATACCTGGCTACGATGACCGGCATAAACACCAACGTCCTGGACACAGCTCACCTACTATGTCAGAAGGAGACCGATGTACAAATAAAACGCGTACAGCCGATGTACTGCTAGTCACTGTCTAACTTTTGAGCGCCTAATCGTAGAAACGTACGGCATTCGCTGATATGTGTTATTTTGCTATAAGTTTTGGTTTAGTGACACAAAAATTATGTATTACTACAGGGTGTTTTTTTAAAAATCTCCTCTTTTAAATTCACCGTATCAAATTTATTTCGTAAAATACCATGTACAAATTATACATTTTTGAAAAGTAAAAAAGTATATCTTTCAGATGACCTAAACATATACAGGGTGTTCCATTTGATAAAATTTGGTTACGGTGAATTTAATAGAGGAGATTTTTAAAAAACACCCTGTATAGGTAATACATAATGTATGTGTCACTGAAGCAAAACTTATAGCAAAATAACACATATTATCAAAAACCGCTCGTTTCTACGATTAGGTGTTTAAAAGTTATAAGCTCTGGAAATGGGCTACTTTTCATTGGGACGTATTAGCTCACAATATTTTTTTCCCAGTAGTTTTGAGAATTGTCTGCTAAAACGTTTTAATAAATATTATAAACATCTTTGGATATTTAATATAACATATTATTACACATTGTCTTTTCTGAGGTTTATTATTATAGGGTCTATTAAGTTTTCCATTGGTATATTCACATTCAAAAATGAATTTGCCACCTTCTTAAGATGATCATTGCATTTTCTCCAATGTTCTCCATTTACATCTAAAACTGCCTTTAAAAACAAATTTTGCAAATCAGGTAATTTAAATATTGTATTGTTTCAAGAAACATAACTTTTAATTGTGACCAAATCAGTTCAATGGGATTTAATTTTGCGTGGTAAGGAGGCAATATTATAATTTCAATTCCATTTTCCATCTCGTCTATAATATATTTTTTTTTATGTTGCCATGATATTATACGAGTAATTCTGCCTTCAAGGATTTAGGAAGACTGATAATGTTTTTTGAATGAGGCCATTTTGAAATATCTCCTTTTCTCCATCTTGTTGTAGGTAGTGACTCTTTTAATCGACTGTGATAGGATGCATTATCCAAAATAATAACCGAGTTGGTTGGAATTTTTTTATAATGTTCTGAAAACAATTTCCAAACATATTCATGGTAGTCTTTTGTTTTCTTTGACTCGAACATTAATAAACCATCTAGCAAAAATACATCGGTACTTCCACTGTGGGTTATTATTAAACGATTTCCTTTTCCTGTTGGATTTTTTTAACCCATAAGAGACCCCTTCAATTAAGGCTTGTTTTTTAGGTTTGATGGAGGTATCTCGAAAAATTTTTGTTACTGTATGTTTAGCATTAACCCATGTTTCATCTAAATAAAATACATGTTCTTTGCGTCCACTATTTTTCTTAAATAATCAACGCAATGATTTTATCTTTCTCTGTTAAAAAGCTGTTTCTATCACGTTTCTTGTAACAAAAATTTAATTTAATTAATATTTTTTGTAAATGAAAATATAATATATTTGGAAGAATGGGACAATTTTCTATTTCTGAGTGTAATTTTTGAAGTGCAGGAATTTCATTTCGAAAAGAAAAAGAATGTACCATTTGCCTTATTATATTCTTTACCCAAGTTTTAATGAAGGTCTTGTTTCTTCCTGGGGGCTTTTTCGGATGTAAGACCCCTCCAATAACTTTATCTTCTTCAATAATATTATACACTGCCCGCTTTGATACTTCAGTGTTATAGGTCTCCCATTTAGTGGCTATTTAATCCTCAGAAAGTGAAACAAACTCTTTTCGAAGATTATTAAATACATTAAGTACGATATTTTTGTCTTCTAAAGATGATGCTTTATGTCCACTAGCTCGTTTACGCGTACTTGTGTTTGCAATATTTTTAATGTACTCGCCATTATTATTTAACTGTAAAATTATAACATATACTAATACAAAATTCCGAATCAATTAAAATACATACGATACGACTATGAATAAATAAAGTCTGACTTATCAGCTAAAAGAAAATGTTTATTACAGTAAAAACTATGAAAACATTATTAAATCTAAACGAAAAATTTTATTAGGCTAATCAGATGTATTAAAATTTTCATTTTAACCAAATGAAAGGATGATGTATGAATAAAATGTCTACCTCTTGTACCTGTACTACGTTCTGCAAATTAAATTACTGCACTCCTTTCTTCTTTAGACTATAGACGATAAATAAGGGCTGCGCAAATAAATAAGCATATAGTAAATTTTATTCATTATAGTAGTAAGACTTCAAAAGGGCGACTCTTTAACTTCAATTTTTTTAAACTCATTTGCCAATAAATTTCTTAAGTAAAATATATTTTGATTTTGTTACAAGACACATTTTGTTTTATTAATATTTAATTATTTAAATGGTGTAAATGCAAATTTGTCAGCGCATTCCCATGTTAAAATAGACAAATTGTGACGCGGCATTAATTTTAAAAAAATAAAATAAATTGCATTTAATTTCAAGTTTAAAATTAATGCAAAAATATAATGAAATAAAATCAAATAAAAATAAAATTGGGTAAAAATTAATTGTGTTATGATTTGAAACTAGGCAAAATAAACAAATTCATATATTTTTTATACTTGATTTTATTCAATACATTTTTGTCTAACTTATTTACATTTCATAAAGCCCGCCCCTAGTGGCTATATTGAATTTAGTACCACTCCAGTTTTATAGACAGTACCACTCCAATTTTTTAAAAGGCCCCACATTGCTTTAGAATTTTGTCGTTGAGTTACCCGTCTATTAACACTTCCCCAGCGGCGGTTACTCAATAAGTGCACATGTGCACGTGCACCCCCAAATTTAATGCCTCTTGAAAAAAAAACTAGTTAAATCCTGTGATTCTGTCCTGTCATTATTTTAATAATTATTTTTATTTAAAAAACGATCAATTATTTCGTAAACAAAACTCCAAATCGCAAGACGCTATGCGTAACGTGAGAAATCCAGCCGAGAAAAAAAAATACAGCCGTTCACTTTGCACGACGCCCGCCGCGATATCTTCGTACACTGCACATCGGAATATTCGATCCGATTGGTCAATCTTCTCCCTCCCTCACCGCGGCAGTCTGTGTGACGTTCGATGTTTCTACTGGCACGCGTGCACATAAAATTTGTGCACTTGTAGCTTGCGTGGGGAGCGTAATAATCGGTGTCGCGCTGTCGAAAGGGCAAGGCAGAAGTATTCATCAGAGACAGCAGGGTAAGTTATTAATTTTTAATTTTTTAATAAGATCCTTTAATTTGCTAACCCAGATTGACGGTTTGATAGCGCTTAAAGAATATTTTTGGACGTGGTTGTGTGGCACCCAATTTTTTTTGTATCTTACGTTGTGCACCCCCAGAGTATTGAACCACGCGCCGTCGCTGCACTTCCCTAAACTATGCGTGTAGGGTACAAAGCCATCAAAATTCAGATGACTCTGGATATTATCATTTCAATTAATGTCCCCCTTAAAGGACAAATCCACTGAAATGGTTTTAATATGCAATAAGTTAACCAAAACATCCGGAAAATAAAGATGAGACGCTTAATTATATTTGGAGTTGAGGGGTATATAGACACTAATTGGTTTAACCATATAGCTCTCCGCACTCGGCGACGTATTATTCTATTTCTCTCTATTCAATAGTAACGTGTTTCTATGCCGTTCTCCTGGAGTCAGTATTGAAAAGTTAACATATTGTATAAACAGCGTGTAATATTCTAAAACTAATAGAAGTAATAAAATTCATTAAACATGAACAAATAGTATTATTTAAATTATAAACATTGCGTATGTAAATAAAACATTTCTAATTTAATTTTTTTTATTAGAAACCTTTTGCTAGTTATTATGTGCAAGATTTTATGTGTTGTGTAGTTTGTGCCAATTAAATTTCTTTTTTTCTCTTTTCTGTGTGGCCTCTTTCCTGATGTTCCAATGGTAACTTTTAATCAATGAATTTAATTGGAATTCCAAATTTGTTCTCTTTTGTTTTGTTATTGAGAGTTCCAAAACAAGAATAATAATAATAATCACAACAACAACAACAACCTAAGTGACTAGACTAAATTTGTTTAATTGTTATTTCCATATTCACTAGAATTTTTTTACCAATGCGAAGAGTGTGTAACAAAAACGGATTCCCTAAAAAATAACATGAATATTAGGTATCGACTAATTAGTTTTTGTTTTTGTTACATTAAATAGTATAAAAAGCATATTACTAATGAAGATTGTATAGAAAATGAATATAATTTTCTTCAAAAAGTTGTTTTTCCGTCTCGTTCTAGAAATGTTCCTATCTATCCAAATTCGCTTCTCTGTACAGATTTAGAGGAAACTTAGTGCATTTGATAACCGGCTTCAGTTTTACGATCGGTCAGTTGGTTATGGAAATATAGGCGAAAAACCGAAAATGACGGATTTAGTTTTTCGCCGGTAAATCTGAAAGTAATAATTTGACAGCTGTAAAAATGTGACATTATTTGGATACTTCTTTAAGACAAATAAGATAGCGTGTATGCCATGTCTCAATCATCTTTTGTTATCCCGCAATCCGCCTCAACTTTCATTTTCCTTATCGCCGCCATATTGGATTTTTCGATTTGTCTTATGCCTCACAAGTGTCTAAAAGATTTGAGTATCATTAAAATATCACACTTCGTAAAGTTAGGTCTCATTTTTTTCTAAGGAGGCCATGATTTATTTTTCAGAAAATAAATCAGATATTTTGGGACAAATTCCCAACTGTGTTAAAAAAAGCAAGTCAGAAAACTCGTTGTTAATTTATTTAACACTTAAACCTTTAAACAACCTGCAAGTAGATACAAATTGAAAATGAAAATCACGATAGAAACATTTTAGAAGTTGCAATATAATGTAAAATCTAATTATATTTGTAACATCCATTTGTATCGAAACATTTTTGACAATTAGTGACTGTTTTTCGTACAACCATAGCAAGTGTATTTCCGTTAATGTTTCTAAATGTGTCCAAAACTCTTTGTCTTAAGATTTCTATTATCGCGGGAGGATCAAATTCATAGACCTCATTCTTTGTGTGGCCCTAGAGGTAGAAATCTAAAGGCAAAAGGTCAGGAGATCTAGGAGGTCAAGATATTGGATCATTTAATGAAATGACTTTGGTTAAAGTGTTCTCTTAAGAAGTTCCTGACTTGAATGATGTTTTGAGCCGGGCAACCATCCTGTTAAAACCAGGTTCTTCTAAACTCATCTTCCGTTAGAGTAGCTCGTAAAGCCGGCACAACTTGGTTTCGCAGAAGCTCTAGGTATTTTTGTCCGTTTAGGTTGTAATCAAACAAAAATGGTCCTATAAGTCGATTTCCTGAAATGATTAATAATTTATAATATCGTTACCCCAATTAGCAAACCTCGTAACTCCACTATTGCCAAATTCACATTTTCATGCCAACTTGTAGAGAAGAAAAACCTCTATTACATGTTTCAAACCTCATAAATCCAGAATGGTTCTGGATTCTGGTGTTTTCTCTACAAGTTAGCATGAAAATGTGAATTTGGCAAAAAAGTGGATTTACGAGGTTTTCTAATTAGGATAACGATATGTAGATGCCCAATCAAAAAAGATAAGTTAGATTAAATTACCGATGGTCCCACACTAAACATTACTTCCAAATCTGGTCTGTAGACGTCTCTCTGCCACTTTGGGAGGGTTTTCCACAGCCCAATGATTCATAAACCTACTCTCATCGGACCACAAGACATGATTTACAAAATCGGGATTTTCATTACACTTCCTAGTATTCCACTCACAGAAGGGCATGCATTTTGGAAAATCAGTTTCCTTCAGTCCTTGAACTATTGTCGGTTTATATGGATGGTACTTATTCTTATTTAATACTCTCTCTACCGTTGATTTTGATACACCAATTTCCGGTTCTATAGTTCTGTACACTAGGGTTTTCATTGACAGCTTATAAAATGTTTCTGTCGCAATTTTCATTTTCGATATTGTATCCGCTTCTAGGTTGTTCAACGGCCTCATGGTTAATTAAATTAACTACAATTTTTCTAAATTGGGTTTTATGAGGCTGCCGTCATTCGGGGTACATCTCTAAATAACTTGCTGAGGTAATGTCGACGTTTCTGCGAGAACAGCACTAACATGTCATTTGAATAGGGAATACCGGCCATTTTTCACAGGTTTCGACAATTCGTGTGACAACTTTATGATTATTAAACACAGGAGTGCGTTTAGAAACCTCGTACGGCGCGTCTGGACCCTATTCTAATGCATGTGGTCAGACGTGGCGTACGAGGTTTCTAAACGCACTCCTGCTTTGATAGATTGAATTATTTAACGTCAAAGTCAGAACCTCCTTAGATGGAAAAATACTTATAAAAACCCTATTTTCTGACAAATTAATCATGGCTACCTTAGTAAAAAATGGGACCTAACTTCACGAAGTGTGATATTTCGATGATATTCAAATCTTTTAGGCACTTGTGAAAAATCTTAAGACTGGACATTTTTCGGTCTTTCTAAAAATCGAAAAATCCAATATAGTGGCCATAAGAAAAATGAAAGTTGAGGCGGATTGCGGGATAACACAAGAGGATTGAGACATATCATACACGCTTTCTTATTCGTCTTAAAAAAGTTTCCAAATAATGACATATTTTGACAACTGTCAAATTATTCGTTTCGGATTTACAGGCAAAAAACGAAATCCGCCATTTTTTATTTTTCACTGATATTTCTATAACCAACTGACCGATCGTAAATCTGAAGCAAGTTACCAAATGCACTAAGTTTCCTACAAAACTTTTTCCATTTAATCTTTGCTGTAGGCAAAGACATTACAACTAAGAGACCAAATTGTTTACATTTTCATGTGGCAAATCATTATTCCTACCAGATTCTCGTTTATTGCGTCTTTGCCGGTTTTATCAGTCTGTAAAAATTATTTGGAAAAATTACTTTGCGAAAAATAAAATTTGATGTACCCTATAACTATAATTTTATATTTTATATTATATAAATAAAAATATGTTTTTAATCAAATTATTCTTTAAAGTTTTAATATAAGCTAAATTTTTTATTAAAAATCAATATTAACCTAAACAAAATATTAGGTTTGCAAAGAACTCTGTAAATACGACAACGCTGAATATCTTGTTTTACGAATTTACAACTAGTACCTATTTTTACGAATGAAATGTAGTTACCACGGGGGTTTATATTATATGCACAATACGTAAACACGTTTCTGCGCATGCAACTCCGCGCTTGGGTGCTCTGAAGTCCGTTTTACAATAGCAAAATTGTATTAAAATGTAAAGCAGATTGAATAATTTAATAACATCTCGTTCAGTAACACAAAAAGTGTTGTTTTAAAAATTTTAATTCATATATTACAACTATGATTACAACAAATTAAAAAAAACATGCCTTCACAGTTATTTGTATTATGTGATGATGGCTTTCTGTCCGCTGCATGACTGCTGGATGTCCGCTACAGCGGTCCCCGTGCGCGCTGTTAACAAATAACATCTAAATTGAACAAATGTGTGGTTATGTTATGATTTTGGTCGTCGACGAAAACATGTGAGTGAAACTACTTTTATTTATTTATTTTAGATATAAGTTATGATTATTTAAAATCAAGTAAAGGTATTTTGATGCTTTAACATGTCTTTACCAGGCAGAATTCATTATAAACGCATAATTTCTAATTGTTATAGTACATTTTATAAGGCCCATTTCAAACGTAAATTTTAAGAACAAACATTTTTAAATTTCCTTCTGATATTGATCAAAGAAAGGAATGGTGTCGTATTTTAAACATTCCATTCGTTCCACTTACAACCAATCAAATTATACATTATGTGAAAATCATATTTTGATACAAAATCCTTTACAAACACAAATCGGTCAAGACTGCTAAAAGATTGCTTTGCCTTGCTTTAGCACCCTCAAAACCAGATTCACCAAAATTAGTAGTAATATTGTTATCACACCTCCAAACAGAGTACCTGTGGTGAAGATAAAGTTCATTTTAATAATATATACAAAATTATTAAATGAAGCAGAATTTGAGTCAGGCCACTAGTTATGTTGCAAGGTTTATTAAGAAACTTAATAGTTTTGACTACAAAGAGTGTAAAGTTAATTTACAGACATGTTAGAAGAGCATCGATACTTTTACTTATTTTAAAGAAAATGATGAAAAAAGACGTTTGATTTATGTACAAAGAAATGTTATTGAATTTCTTTGAAAAATGCATGAAATTGTTTTACCACTTGTGGGTGATATTGACAACAAAAACCAGAAAATTAAACTTTTTTTGCCAGACCATGTTGATTTTAAATAGTTTACATCAGAGGCTACTAGTGGCCTAGTCTACGAGGAAGCTACTTTGGAAAGGCACACCCTATATACTTAATAAAAATATATGTTTCTATAAAAATACAAAAAGCAGAAATATTACATTTTGTTTCAATAGAAATATATATTTGTATAAAGTATATAGGGAGTGCCAGCCTCCTCGCAGACTAGGCCACGAGCCGTCTCTGGTTTTACATGTAAAGAACATAAAACAGACGCCTTTTCTCATTTAGTTAAAACTTGTCTACCATTAATAATAAGAAAGTATTTTAATGATAGTATGAGGGCTACGGTAATGTCTAAAAGACAAACAAAATGATTTGAAGTTACTGCATTTAATTTTTTCTGTTTCAGTTTATATGGATGGTTGCTTTTGTCTTTTTTCCTAAGATTCAAGAAGAATTTATTGTTTTGTTTTTTGTTGATTTTAAAAATTTATTTACTTAGGCATTAGTTTTCATATCAAGTAAATTAATTTTTTGTTGTGCATTTCCTGATTTTTTTTAGCCAAAGATAGTTAACGTACCGAAATAGTACGTGTGTGATATTAGAGAAACTTTCTTAAAGAGTCATTAATAAGACGTCCGGGAGCGCCATAGTAAATAATAATAATAGCCATTCTGGCTTCGCATGAGCTCTGCTTGTATGGGGGTGAAGTGCATGAAAAATAATTTTTTGTATTGCCATCTCTTTGATATATTTTTTATTTATTTTTCTTAGGAATTTTTAGTAAATATAATTATGATATTTATTTTATCCCTCAAAATTATTTGTCATAAAATTTTACATTTTTATTGGCATTTCATAATTGTTACAAACAGCTAATAAAAAAGCAAAATTTTAGTTATAATTAGAAGGAAAATTTACTCAAGCAATTATCTTTTTCTTAACAATACGAAATAGAGCCATAAATATTTCTATAGTATAATTTCACTTTTTAGTGAATGAAAAATATGTACCTTCAGGTAAAGGTGAAATGTCCGTTTTTCTGGAGCCACTATTCCGAAATTTGATTTAATTATTTTCTCAATTTTTGAAATCTTTATAAAAACAAAATTTTGCGATTTATTACCATCATAATTTGATTAAATTTTGAAAAAGTGGCTCCAGAGGAACATATTTTAGCTACACGTACATGTTTTTTATTTCACTAAAAATTAAAAAATTACTACCAAAATTTTGTATGGCTATATTTTGTATTAGTTAAAAAATAATTGCAAAAGTAAATTATCCTTTAAAAAACCCGCCAAATTAAATATAATATTACGGGTAACTGCATTACCGACAGAGTAAGAGTTGATGATAATACTGCTGGTAAGTACATTACCGACAGAGTAGGATTAGTTCTACAACTCCCCCCTACAGGTCGCGGCAAGCAAACATGTTGCCAAATTTCTACAAAGAAACGGCAACTCTTAATGGTATTTTTCCTTTGCATCGAAAGTGTAGCACTGAGCTATGCCACTTCTGAAAATATCGCTCCATTTATACAAATTGCATTGATGGAACGATATTTTCAGAAGTGGCGTAGTTCAGTGCTACACTTTCGATGCAAAGGAAAAGACCTAATAATCCTTCCTCCATGGTAGTTACCGTAACGAGCCGCAACGTTGCTAATCGGGTCTAACAGCTATTTTGTGTTTCTGACAGTTTCTATGTGACTTATTGATATATTCATTTATAAAATACTATTTTTGTGAACTTTTGTGAGATATATAAAGAATTATGGTACATGCATGTGTAGTGTTCAATAAGGTAGATCATTTAAATCGAAATTTTTCCTTTCATCGGTAAGTATTTTTAGGTTAAAATATGTTGTTTTCATTTGAACCAGTGGAGTAGGGCACCGGTCTTAAAACTGTTTTGACTATACAGTTTCTTGTACAAGATTTGATACAATTTCTTATAGAATTTAAATCGTATAATATCACATAGTAAATTGTTTGAAAAATAATTACCCAATCAAATTTTTCAGACAATTTACTGCAGTTTTGATAATATACAATTTAAATTGTACAAGAAATTGTATCAAAAACTTGTGTAGTCAAAACAGTCTTAAAAAGTTTTTAAAGTGATATTTCTTTTATAAATTAGTAAATTATTCTTATACCAATAAATAATTATTGAATAGTGGCAAAGAAAATTTAACGTAAAATGTAGAATACCTTAAAAATGATTTACCTATTAGGCACCTATACATATTTTTTAATATTCTATTTAGGTTTCCGCAAGATCCTGAGAAAAGAAAATTTTGGTTTTCTCTAGTAGGGATCCTTGAAAATCAGCCCCTTCGTAAAAACCCAGAATTGTGTTCACACCACTTTTTTCCTAAAGATATTTTGGTACGTGCAAATGGTGCTAAATATATCAGAAAAGATGCAAACCCCAGACGGTGTGAGGGCTTTCTATTTTTGGATGAGATCCAACAGGTAAAAATACAAAATATTAATTTTTTGTTTACCTTTAAACATTATTTATTACCTATATGTATGTTTATCTAATGTATGGGTTTCTAGTTCTGATTCAACTGTTTTTGGAACAACACCTTCTGCAAAAAACATTGCAGTAAGTAATACCACTAATAACTAAGCATAAAAAAATTAAATGAAATTTTAGTTATAAAATTAAGGTATTTAATATATTTAAAACGTTATTTTAAATTTTTTTACAGTTTTTTTACGATATTTTTTGCCCTACGATGTTTTTTTGTAATTATTAATTAAAAAATTATATATTTTTAGGACAGTGTTTTATTTGAATACCCCTACCTACTTAATGTTAATTTAAAATTTTAAATAAATTTTGGTTAACGTCATACCAGGCAAATATATAGTAAATGCCAATAAACTATAAACCAATAAATATTAAAAATCGGAAGACTTGAATTCTTTTGTATTTGAATTTACTTGTACTTGAATTTACCTACATGAAAAAATCATCATAATTATATTACTAAAAAAATATACCTACTTATTTACGTATTTTTTTAAAACTCTACGCTACTGGCGAGCATATTACGGACACTGTTTACAACGTTGCCAGCCGGTCCTAAGAGATCAGTCTTTCTCTTTTCCACTCACTAACAATTTTAAAACAATAACAGTCCGCAATTGTATGGGATTTATGAATGAAACATTTTGTCTCTATGTTGTAATGTCTTTGGCTGTAGGTATAATATGAGCCGGGATCCCTACATAGAGAAGCGAATCTGGGACACACTGTATACTTACTCTTAGTAAAAGGGGAAAACCTAATTCCGATAATCCATAGCAGCTTAGTTTAAAAGGTGTTTTTGATGAGTTTAATAACATTTGCAGAATGCCTCGGTTCCTATTGTCCCAGTAATACCAGGGACATCCAGTCAATTCGCTGTAGAAATTTTCACACTACAATATTAAAAGTGTAAATGAGTATTTTATTGACTTTACTATTTTTACTGTTGTTTTTAAAGTAAGAGGAGCGATTTGAATTTTCCGCGCCTAAACTTTAGCTTCTAATTGTTTTTTTGACAGGCAAGTTCACATAGACCAAAGTGTCTTATAATCGTAGATATATAACCAAGACCACATACTTCGATTTTCTCTTAGTATGTGACCAGGACAGATAGGATTATTTACAAAATTTCTGAAGTCTCAACGTTGGCGTCCGCGACAGGAACACAATAATCTGATTGAACATTGATGCCAAGTTTACGCTGTTCTTAACAGTATATTAATGTAAATACATTAGCTTGCAATACAGTTTGAATTTAAATCATCGAAAGAAATTTTATGTTTGATAACAGCGCATTTACTTTTTATCGAATTTCTAGACAAAGTTGTAAATTTGTTTCATTCATAAAAGTACTTTGTGTTTGGTGGGTTGCAGCTATCTTTTTGTGAAAACTGCTTTTTCTAAGTTTGTTTGATTAATTATTTATGTAATTAAATAGGGCATACCTATTATCAACAGTGCTTCGTTTGTAAAAAAAACGGACTATTTACATGTTAATCTTTCGTTCCACAACCAAGTTGTATTTTATAAAAATATTAATTAAAACTTTTTTACTATCAGAAGTCGAATTATTGGAATAAATTACACACTGTATATTTTTCTAATCTTTTCTTACACATATTAATGTAAAGTTAAATATTTTAAAATATGTGGTTTTTTCCCAAATCAGGTAAATTTATGTACAATGGAATGATAATGGATTATTCTAGGAGTGTGTAACTACAGGAAGTAGGGTAATCCTCTTAAGGAGGTCCTTTCGCCACCAATGTTAAATAAAAAATATTAGATTATGACTAAAATTAATTTTTTTCTAATAGTTGAAGTCCTTATTTATTTAATAGTGAACTTTTAACTATACCTTACCGTGCAAATTTTTGAGAAAAAAAAACTGTACAAATACTCACATTTTTAAAAAAAAAATTCTCAAAAATTTGCACGGTAAGGTATAGTTAAAAGTTCACTATTAGATAAATAAGGACTTCAACTATTAGAAAAAAAATAAATTTTAGTCATAATCTAATATTTTTTATTTAACATTGGTGGCGAAAGGGGTGGCAAAAGGACCTCCTTAACTATTCTATATTCATCTTTATTAAAAGTGCAAATTGTAGCTGCCTAAAACTGAATACAATAATTTGTTCTTAATGTTTATTAAGTACAAAGGAAGTATATAAAAATAAGAAATGCGTTAGTGAGTAAGTATTTGAAGCCTGTAAAAATATTTAATTTATGTTCATTTTTATAACTGGTAAATGACGCTTTAAAGTGTACTTTTCAATAACTTTGTATAATAAAATCATTATAAAATTTAAATTTTAAATTTCACTGAGAAAATGATTAATTATTAAATATTTCCCTTTACGTCTATGAATGTTTACAATACGGCCAGCAGGCGATGACGCACTGTTGCCGAGTTAAGCCAGTTTAATCGGTCCTCTCACTCCGATTTAGAGATGGATTGATTTGGGTCTTGCCTTCACAACAAATACACTTTTATCAATGACTAATTGGGTATGGGCTAATTATGACCTTTCTTAATCAATGATTTGGTACATCACTGTCAATAACTTTAAAATTTTAAAAGATTACTGCTTTTTAGTGTTTTAATCTTTCTATTACCTATATACATTTTAACCAAGCATGTTTTGTTTATTCGTCTTATTTTTATCCCGGAACTTTCAGTTGTTTTATGTCTTAATGAGACACCATGTATATTGTATACAGTGCTTTTCAAAAGTCCCCTTCCCCCCTCTTTTCTTTTGAAAGGTGATACTTAGATTGATGAAATTTGAAGGGTGAAAATGAACTATTGTAAGTTTCTCTACTAGTGGTAACAGGTGACGTAATAGGCATCGGTGACGTCACCAGGCAACTGAAACCAATAATATTAAATGGGACCTTATATTAAGTGACACCTCGTTTGAAAGGTATTTAGCATACCTATTCAATCATACTATTTGTTTTGGATTTACGATGTCTTTGATGCTTAAAATAGGGTCCCATTTAATATTATTGATTTCAGTTACCTGGTGACGTCACCGATGCCTATTACGTCACCTGTTACTACTAGCAGAGAAGCTTACAATAGTTCATTTTCACCCTCTAAATTTCGTCAGTCTAAGTATCACTGTTCAAAAGAAAAGAGGGGGGAGGGGACTTTTGAGAAGCACTGTAGATCAAGAAATTACCTCATACTACCATATTACGGAAAGAAACAAGAATTATTAAAAATCTCATCACAAATCGCGATCGCGATAAAAACCTACTTTCCTGCTATGAAAATTGAAAACTGTTGTAGTATTGCAAACACTCGAAAGAAACGAGAAAAATGTTTTTGTAAAATTGTAACTATTTGTATTGATGTTTGATGCTATGCCGTTATTTTAATCAATTTGCATGCTGTAAATCTAAGAATAAAAGAGTATTCAGAATGTGTTAGTATATTGAGTTTGTTTCTAAAATGAATAAAATTGCTAGTAGGAATCAAAATAAATCATATATGCCAACATATTTCAATAATGTTACTAACTGTAGAATTATTTTGGATTGTAAAAAAATTTATTGTAATCAATCAAAAAAATGGACAAACACTTCATATAAGCACAAATAGTATATTGTTTACCAAGTAGGAAAAATCTAACATTCAGTCAGGGAATGTGGCTTTTCCTACGAGGTAAACATACTATTTTGCCGTAAATCGTTTAAAATTCGATAGATGTTAATTAAATTTGAAAAAATCGCGAATAATTTTATTCACTAATAAATGGTGCTTTGAAATTCGTAATAAAATTGGTTGCGTTACTATGGAAACGTATTAATGTTGAATTGTCAAACTAAAGAAAAAGTCAAGATTTCCTAACTGTTAGGAAATATTCATTTCCTTAGTGTAAGGAAATGAATATTTTCTAACAGTTAGGAAATCTTGACTTTTTCTTTAAGAAATTTTGTTTGGAATGTCAAAATATCCTATCGATTTGTGGAAAACACATTTAAAGGTTTTACTGGACTTGCTTCGAATGATGTAGTGTCCAAATGCGAGTAAATTATGCCCTGGCTCTGCATCTGATAAAAAATGTGTAAAAGATTATGGTATTTTAGACCAATTAGTACCAGGAGATCTAGTTACTGCTGATTTCAAATGTGCTTTTTTTTTTATGTAAACATAAATATACCCCCGTTTCTACAACGTGGGTTGTCTAATTTAATTAAATTAATAATCAATATTATTTGTTCGTATTTCTGGGCGATCCTGGTTGTAGCACATTAAGAAAAGAAATGAAAATAATTAAATATTACGAAATTACAAATTCCCACTTACCGCATCTGTTATCATTTGTCCATAATAATTCGCAATGAAATGTTCAATTCCTGCGATTACTATAACTCCATACGTACAAACATTAAATGTTGGATTAACATTCTAAAAAAGAATTTAATACGATAATACATCAACTAATGACAATCTTCTTTTTTCCAACACACGCCAATCAAAATTGTATCTGAAAATACAAGGTTCTTTCGTTCGTCCCACTGGTGCAGGAATAAACTACACCAACGAACACTAAACCTTTCGTTTGGCCCGGTGTAAAACCCACTATATCTTCCTGTCGGCGATGTGGTGTCCATTAGTGGATATTTTCTCCACCAGCTATTTAGCAGGAATGAATTACACTCGACATGTGTATAAGAAATAAGGAGGAAGTAAAGTAGGGTAAATAAGGTGATGTAACTGGTGTAATTTACACTGGTGGATACTGCACCAACACTGAACGAAAGAACCTACTGAGCAGGGCCGGTTTCTCCGTTGGTGCATTTGTGCAGTGAACACCCAGTTAAATTTAATAAAAACACATTATTTTAAAACTACATAAAAATATAAATTTAATTTTAATATTTTTTTTTTCATACGTGTTAATCTATATTTTTTGGTACATTATTTTCCTCTGGCTGATCGCGTCTCTGTGACACAGTATACCTAAGTATTCGGTGGCGCATTATGATGAGTGAGCCTAACACGAGTGAGACAATATTGTGAATGCATATAGCTAAAAAGAGAGGACATGCCAACAGATCCTTTAAACTGTCAAAGAACACATTAATTGGCGCGCCGCTCACAAACAAGGTTGCCAAACCAGTGTTGCCAGTCTAGTACAATTCACAATTGTACTAGATATAGTACAGGGGCAATGAAAACAACCCCCACTGCTGCAATGGAAGCACTAATAGGACTCCCACCTCTTCACTATGTGATACAAGGGGAGGCAAGATTAGGTGCTTACATATTAGGCAATACACTGGGAAATCTTGACATTAGGCCAGGTCACATGAGTATCTCAAGGTTAGTGACAGGAGACGTGCTAGACATGAGATCAGACCACATAACCAAGAGGTACTCTTTTAATACTTCCTTTGAGGTTTTAATACAGGAAAGAGCGGAGATCACCATAAGGGAGCCCAATGCCCAGCGACAGGAACAAACCTGGTATACAGACGGGTCTAAGACTGCGGAAGGCACTGGGGCAGGAGTATTCTCCAAAAACCCTGATACTAACCATAGCTATGCTATAGGAATACATTCCTCGGTATTTCAGGCCGAGGTATACGCAATTTTGCAATGTGCAAAAACGAACAATGAAAGAGCTGTTGAAAATCAGCATATTCAAATAATGTCAGACAGCCAAGCGGCACTTAAGGCCATATCGAGTCAGAAAGTTACGTCGAGGCTGGTATGGGAATGCATCGAAGAACTAAAAACACTGGCAGACCGAAATAGAGTAAAACTATTTTGGGTGCCAGGTCACAAAGGGATCGAAGGCAACGAAAAGGCTGACGAACTTGCAAAAAGAGGGTCAGAAGAAACACCAGAACCAGACACAAACCCAGGAGTACCAAAAAGTACAGTCCGGGGTTTTATAAATGACTGGATTCGGGAACAACATATCAACTATTGGGGAAGCACCCCAAAACAGGCACATGGAAAAGCCTTCATAGGCAGACCATGTTCCAAAAGAACTGGAGAACTACTCTTAATGAATAGGAACCAGTTGAAAGTGATAACAGGATTCATGACTGGGCATGCACCAGTAAAGGGACACTTGAACAAAATTGGCATGTACAATGGAGAACTCATGTGCCGACTATGTCACAAGAAACCAGAAACGGCCAAACACATACTGTGCGAATGCGAAGCTCTAGATCGCAAAAGACAGGCTCTTTTTGGACAACCCCAGGTTGATCCAACAACGTATAGAACCCACTCACCCAAGGATCTGTACAAACTTGTACAAGGTACAAAGGTAATAGAGTGGGTGCTATGAATGGGATAAAACACAATAAGCCAATAGGCTTCAGTGTTATTCGGAGACACATAGTCAGACGAACCCAGGAAAAAAAAAATATATAGTACATTTTGCGTGCATCAGTGTTCACGTGTAAAATATATATATTGTGTTCCTTGTTTGGGTTCGTTATCAATAAATACCCACTTTTTCCCCTTCAATTAATTAGATGTCACTGCAAGTAGAATTCGAAAAATCTGATACATTTAAGGAATCTGGTACATACAAAACATATTCTGGCAACACTGTACCAAATCAAACAAACTGTCATTTCATCTTCCGTCATTATGAAACGGTTTTAATAAAATTAGGATTATTTGTTTTTGTGTGTGTCATCGACTTCAACTACCAGGGTTATTTCGCCTCGTGTTCTGGGTAGGCTTTGTTACTGTTTCCCAGCGCCAATTTAGGAAAAGCACTGTTAATTAGAACCAAACAGTGAATGGTCGAGTGGGGAATCCTACCAAGGCATCAGAATTAATTTTAAATAATTGAATTAAATGAAAAAATCCCGGCCAACGGTGGGCTTCGAACCTGGGACCCTTGGATCCACAGGCAGAGACTCTACCACTGAGCCACCCCTTTTTATTATTTTATTATTTGTGATCATTTAAAAAAATGTGTTTAATTGAGAACTGCAACTTTAATAAATTGGAAGGATGTGTGTCAATTTAACTATTGTTCCCGAAAAACTTCTTTAAGGCAAGATAAATAAAAACTTTTTAAGTTTAAGTTATTCTATTTATGTATAATAAAGTTTTACGACTGTAATTTGTTTTATATTTTGTTTTATATTTTGTTTCAATGTCTAAGACCATCCAAAGACTACTTAAAAATGGTCCAATTTGTACCCAATTGTAAATACTATGAAGTAAAAAGTAAGCAAAAAATTTGTAATTTTTTTTTTCCACAAAACCCGCTAGAAGGAAAAATGTTATTATTCTGATGAGGTAACTGCTTACTTGATATCATTATGGAAATAAAAATGTACAATAAAAATTTGATAAAGATAAAGAGACAAATGATTTTTCACTTTAAAAGCTTGAATCGGAAAAATGGATCAACCAGTTAATTTAATATACTCGATGAGAAATTTTACCTAAGAAATGGTATGTACATTCAAATAGTTTACCTATATAAAGTTATGTTTGCCTGTAATTATCAATCGTCTAACCTAGATCGTTTGTTGCATATAAACCAGAAATATTTTATTTTAATGACATTTTTCTATTGCCTTATTTGTATAATTTAGTATTTTCAAAAATATTAGATGGTATGGTAATTTGGATTACTCCAGGTATTAAATAAAAATAAGGCTGATAGTAAATTAGTTTACAGTTGGTAATAAAGTATGTCTCGAAAAAAGCAATACGTATCAAACATAAATTGTGATTTTCATTAGGCATTTAACAAGTCACATCCCACATATCTATATGCTCTGGCTACTCAATCCTATAAGTTGTAACATGAAAATTGAACCTAAGTTCGTTTTAAATTTTTTGTCACTTCACCCTGTATATTCTTATGACACCTAATAAATCAATAACGCAACAAAATTTGTCTATGTAAGGATTATTTCAGAGAGCCAGTACTGTATGTCAACCCGTATAGCACTCTAGTGTATAGTGTGTTGCATATTTAAATAACTATAATTTTTAATACGGGAATAATCGATTTTATTTTTCGTTTAAATTCGGTTACCCAAAAAGTTCAACCGGCACTTTTGCCCGAAAATACCGATCAAGGAGAAGCGACAGTAGCTGTCGGTGCCTTTGATATTGGATGTACCTTTTTCACATCATGACTTTGATTAATACACAACTTAGCACGCTGGGAAAACATGCTTATTTTCTACACTGAGCGAAATAGTTTGGCAAATTATCTAAAATCATTGTTATAGTCCATGCGCAAATGTTGTAATGTGATTTAATTACATTGAAGTAGTTAGGGTTAATAGCAATGGTGAAATTTCAGCACCAAAATATAATACATTATGTAATAATTATTATTAATTATTTGTTATACAAGTAAAAGACGTTTATTATTTTATAATTTATTTATAAAATTTGTTCAATATTTGGTTTATTTATTCTTAAAAATGTAATGTATTTAGAGTTAAATACCTGGCCTGGCTATCACCCAGACAATACAAATATGTCCATTGGACGTTCATTCGATATACAATTTTGGATGTCTAGACGTCTAAAAATGAGTTTTTTATGGACTTCCGACATCCAATGGACGTCCAGTGAAGTATACAAATGGCACACTTTTGACCATTCAGAGGACGTCCAATTCTGGAATATATTTGGACGTCGAATACTGGACATTCAAAAAACGTCCAGGATTGTATTTCCACTGAGACCACATCCCCACTTTTTTTACAGAACCGCAACTTACCACACACTATTTTATATTATTAATAATTTGTTTATTACTTTCGCAAACCGCTATACACCATTTATTTTTTTTTTTATTAAAAATCGCTTAACCTGAGCAGGAATCGAACTCACGACACATCCATTATCGTTTTACGCTTTTAATCGCTAGACGAGCTCGACCAAGGAACCACTTGAAAAATTTTTACTAGATACAGTTATAATTGAATAAGATTTCAAACTTCCGCTGATAGAATGAAATGCAATAGATTCAATTTGTCAATTTTTAATAACCAGTTATATTAAAAAAAAGAAGTACATATAGATGGGTATATTATCTGGTAGGCTTAATAAATATTGACCTAAGATGGACGTCCACTGGACGTCAAAATACTACTAAACTTAAAATTTAAAATTAAGTCCAAAAACAGACGTTCTCTGGGTATCGATATTCAGCTGTCAATTTAATTAGCATAAACGGACGTACACTGGATGCCCGGATATGGGCGTCTTGACCCTCAAATAGATCTAAAGTGGACGTACATTGGACTATGTGTGCTGTCTGGGCATAGACGAATTTTTAGAAATAGTACTTATTTAAGTATGCACCAATATTTTCAAAATCAACTCCAGTATGATTCATTCAATAAATGTAAATAAGAATGGGCAAAACATCTTTATATTGACATAATTGTAACTTACAA